CAGAAAAGAGAAAAGAGCAGAAAAGAGAAAAGAGCAGAAAAGAGAAAAGAGCAGAAAAGAAGAAAGAGAGAAAAGAGAAAAGAGCAGAAAAGAGAAAAGAGGCAGAAAAGAGAAAAGAGCAGAAAAGAGAAAAGAAGCAGAAAAGAGAAAGAAAAGAGCAGAAAAGAGAAAAAAAATGAGAGAAGGAGAAAAGAGCAGGAAAGAGAAAAAGAGAAAAGAGCAGAAAAGAGAAGAGAAAAGAGCAAGAAAGAGAAGAGAAAAGAGAAGAGAGAAGAAAAGAGAAGAGAGAAGAAAAGAGAAGAGAGAAGAAAGAAAGAAAGAAGAGAAGAAAAGAGAAGAGAGAAGAGAGAAGAGAGAAGAGAGAAGAGAGAAGAGAAGAAGAAAGAGAAGAGAGAACGAGAGAGAGAGAGAAAGAAGAGAAGAGAAGAGAGAAGAAAGAGAAGAGAGAAAGAGAGAGAGAAGAGAACAAAAAAAAGGAAAGAAGAAAGAGAAGAGAAGAGAAGAGAAAGAGAAGAGAAGAGAAGAGAGAAGAGGGAAAAGAGAAGAGAAGGAGCAGAATGCATGTATACATGCAAACGGAGCATACATTCTCAACTTGTGTTTACATGTGCTATGTATGCCAATTATATATAATGGTAAAAGCACTAACAATGTTAATAATAGCTGCTCAATAACAATAAGCTTATATAGTCCTCTAACATATTGCTGACAACTATTAAGTTTTCAAATAAGTTTGTAAATAATTCAAAACATAATCTTTTTATAATGTGTACTTGGTGATTTTTTTAATGAAATGTATACATGATTACACAAAGAACACAACCTCTTGCAATGTAATCTAACCTTTAGAACACAACTTTAAAAACTTGTATGCAATAAACCATGTCCCATAATGAGGCAAGTATAAAACAAGTAAAAATATAAACAGTAAACAAAATCCACAGCAGCTGGCATGAAGAAAATCTTAACACCCTTAATTAATATAATAGACTTGACTTTCGCATTTTGCTTAAAATGTTACATACAATAACACCATGCCACGAAAAAGGTGATCTTGACATATAAGCAGACTTCAGCTCTTGCTTACTGAAAAAAAATTCTAGTTATTCAGAATGTAAACGAAAAGTTTCAAAGCAAACAAATTCTAAATCTTGAATATGAACCCCTCAGAAATTATCAGACATAATTCAAATAAACTTCAAAATAGTCCTGCACTTCACTTTGCCTTTCAAAACCTTGTCAACCAGAAGAGAAAGTTCTCATACCCATTCAAGGCTGTAGTGTTTTTAAGACCTTTGATTTAAAATTTCTTCTTTAATATGGTTCCATTGACAATTCTAATACTATTAGACTAAAATTTTATTTGATGGGATTAACATCTTTGTTTAAAAAACGCTGACAAATGAATCCTATTCACTAAGAATAAATCAATCATTGTAAAAAATTTATGCATTTATGATTTGTGGATAGACTCCTAAGAAATCAAAGTAAAGGCATATTCCTTCAATCTTGAAGATAAGCAAAGCAATACAACAGGATGACCCTCTTCCCTAACCCCAACATTGTAAAAATATCCTGGAGTAACTTATATCATAATAACAATACAAAAAAACAACCACTAAATTTGTGGTTTCCCCCAAGACCCACACACCACCAAGATAAAGGGAGAGGAAAATTAAATCCCTATACCTGTGCACCTGTTCCTTTCAACCCCTAACCCTTCCCATGCCATGATAAAAAAAAAATAATAATAATAAAAAGCACACACACACATATACAAAGACCTCAGATCTCAAGCAAAAACAAATACACAAGCAGTAGTCCCACAATCAAAACGACAAAAAACAATGAAATAATAGCCCACGTGTATCAATTATTCACAAAGCAACAAAACAATTTTCCCTTTTCCTAAACAACAGTATGGGTAAGTAATGCCCTGAAAATGAATCTGAGACCAAGGAAACCATTTTAGACCTGGGGAATGAATTATATAAACTGGCAATAGGATTAATACCTTTACAGCTAACCAAATGCCATCTGACAAAAAAAAAAAATAATAATAATAATAATGCATGCCCCGGGTACGAATTTTAGCCAAAGAGAGTGACTTGAACAACTAGACAATTAAATCAATGTTAATGGATTTAATGTAGGCCTAATGCCTTACTGATGAATACACCTTAGCCCCTTCAAGTGAATCCTTCAACCCAGACACACTTCTTCCTCGTATTTTCCTCTTCTAACATGTCCCATTTCACTACCCATCCATAAACTGGGCGTGGGAAGGGGGCATTTAACACCCAGGATTATCCAACATCAAATTGGATGACTTAGAAATTAGTATAAAATAAAGGACATTTTCCTTAAATCTATTAAATAATTATGGCTATTTCCTTAGAAATTATAAATAACATGAAAATTCTTACATTTTTGATAGATTAATAGATATTTTCTTAGAAACTGAATAATACACTTAGACACTGAAAATGTTAATGAATACTTCCTCAGAAACTGGACATAACAATGGATACTTTCTTGAAATTAGACAAAATTACCAGAAATTTTCTTAAGAACTGAATAAAATAATTAATATTTTCCTGGACTGGATGTAAGCCTAATGACAGGCATTTCCTGAGAAACATAATAAAAGCATTGATATTTCCTTTCAATAATAGACACAATGACAGGTTCAATCACAGAAATCAAGGAAAATAATAAGAATTTCCCCAAAAATTGGATAATTCATGGAAATAATGAACCTAAATAACCCTAACAACACTGCCTCAATAACATCATTAACTGCAACAATAACACAGGGCCGAGTTTCACTAATATCCTATTTCCGATCACGAGAACGTCGCCAAGACAGACACACACACGAATGACGTCCCGAAATTCGAGAAAAAAATCAGATCCAGCGCCTGAAATAATGATATGTAATGGAGAGAGAGAGAAAAAAATGCTCTGTTTTTGGGGCCTTTTCTCCCCGGTTTTCGGCGATCCGCGTGTCCTCCTCACTCACCAAGAACGGAAGACTTCAATCTCTGCGCCAAGTCTAGATCCCCGGAGTCGCACTCATCGCCCACAGGAGGAGTTAAGGAGAGGCTGAGTTCCCTTCGAGCTGAGGAGAGTTTTAGTTCCCTTTCCTTCTCATGGTCTGACACAACTTTTGTTTCCCCTTCGCGCGACCCGGACTCCGCCACTGGCACTCGCTCTTTTCCTCCACCACTCGCTATACTCATAGATATATTCCACGGTCACTTTCACAGAGAGATTTCCGTCATAACGCTGCACATCGTCGCAAGAAACGGGTTTTGCTCTTGGCGAAGCGGCTCAGAGGGACACGACGACGGCCGCCATGTTGGATTCACCACAACAGTCCACGGGGGCCACACGCACGGCGCCCCGGAAGCCCGCCAAATTCGAACCAGTCGCCCGCCGCTCGCCATCGTTTTGCGCTTGTAATTTCGTTTTTTGGATCTCGAGAGACGGATTTTGGAGGTGGTGCTTGTACTGGCGTGGTTGACTAGATGGTGGAAGTTATGGAGAGGCGTTTACAGCTTGTTTTCATGGCTTATTTTGATTTTTCTTGAGACGGAGGATATGTTTACTCATGCCCGCCAAATTCAAACCGAGAAGGGGCCTTCCTTATTTATTTTCTTTACTTATTTCACTCAATCTTGAGCCGGACTATTTTTTCTTATGATATCTATGCAGAAAGAAGTTTTCTCTAAAATCAATTATGTGGCATTTATCACAAGCGGATTTGGGTTTATGTTTAAAATTCTTTTGTTTTCATTTCTTTTTTTTTTTTTTTTTTTTTTGCGATTCTCTTAGCCTTGTGCAAATATCCTCATCTACTGCAGTATTTCATTGTGCGCTTTATGGTTCGACTCAAGATATCTATGTACTTATTTGATTGTTGCGTGGAAAAACCTTTAATGGCTGTTACAATTCAGTCACTATGACTCATTCACACTTTCTACAAAGCAAAATTGCATAATGCTAACTATTATGACCTTACGACTGTTTGTGTATCGCTGACCTAGACCACAGTACATTTCATTATGCATTGGCAGTCTCCATTAACCATGCGGCGCGCTACTTTTAAGAAAGGAAGACGCATAAATGAAAAGCGATATTATTTCACGGTAATTAGACAATGAAACAGGTGTACGACCAGTTGCTTTGTACCGGGATCTCATAATTGGAAAATACATTGATAGTATTTACACAATGCACTTATAATATTACCATTACAGTTATAAAATATGCACAGAATAATATCATATGTTGATAACTGTCTTTATTGGCTTCTCAAGATTCTATTGCAATTTTTTTCTTTGTCTTCCCGCCATGTCCGCCGGCACGTAGGTAAGGCACGTTCTGTACGCACGTAGAAATACAATGTGTATTTCCTTGGTTATGAGCGTTTATGTAATTTTCATGATAGTCGTAAATAACATACTTCATACAAATGTGATGTGTAATGCATTTGCAGTTCTTCACATATTTAACTAAATTAATTCTTATTTCATTTGTTTATATGACCTCCTAGTAAAGTGAATATAAATCGATTGTTTCTTTGTATCATGTGGTAGTCAAATAAGTTACCATGGTAGCTTGACTCGAGTGGTTGAGTTATGTTCCCGTCAATGGTCGTTTTGTGGTGGTTGTATTCTAGCAATCAACCATTTGGTGTATTTTAGTATATTAACCTACGCGCCGGTGTATTTGTTTTCTTCTTCTTCTTCTTTTTTTGCCCCAGCAAGTAACCCATGTGACCTAGTGACGTGTGGTTGTGTCAACGCCACCTCCTAATGCGTTAAGGTTGAAATTTCCCTAACATGCTCTTTTTTTACAGTGTTGGGTTATCCAATAGGGTGTTATTGCTGTTACTCGCTCACGTGCGTCTCCTCGCAGGAACCTGTTTATTTACATATTATGACAACCGACCCACCCCTACCGCGTTGTGGTAATAACCCACCTTCCGTATTATG